GGAAAGGCCAAGGGTTTATGATTCCTTCCCATAGTCCCTGTGATTTCTTTTCGGCAGAGGACCAGGGCCTGTACCTGGGGAGGGTATCTTACAGGGAGGCTTGATGTTTAGACTATTTCATTTTCTGTGCTAATAGTTGTCATGAAATTTTGTTTTGATTTTGTCGAAAAAATTTCTTGTATATATTAGACACAGAAATGTTTTTGAGTGGAAATAAATTTTCAGGCCCCAGCCAAACAGTTAAGGGGCTGATGTTGATTTTTGAAAATGCTTTGGATTCCCTTCTAATGTTTTTCAAGCCACCAAATTCGTTTTTCCCCACTGGTTGTGGTTTTACCTCAGGTGTTGACTGTTCATTAAATGGGAAAAGGGCTTCTGAGGCATTCAGGAATGATTTATAAAAGCCCATGAACAGAATATGTATAAAATATCCAAAGGGGGGAAGGCGACCTTGGACAGATTTGAGTGTATCTTCAATACCAAGGGGACTCAGCTTGTTGTGTGTTGAGGTTTCTATATTTTACCTAAATTTTCAATGTTGAATCTTGCTATTAAGAGGTGGGGTGCCAAAATTTGAGGTTCCTCATATTTCAAAACAAAACATCTTTCTGCCAAGTTTTAGTCAGGCTTCTCTGGAAGAGGCCACGCCTGCTGAAGATACCTGAAAGGACCTTTGCCAGGATCCCTGTGGGCCCTGGGGAAATGCAGCTTCAAGACCCGCTCCCCATGCCTTTGTAGCCTCTAATTCAGTCCTGTAAAACCAGAACCTGCTTGGTACTCCCTGGCAAGCCCCCAACTCCTAACTGGCGGAGGAGGAAAATAGCTCTCAGATAATTAGTAAAATAGATAAATTCCTAATACTGAGTAGTCTACATTGTAACTCCTCTTTTTTGGAGCAAATTTTACTTATCTTGAACAATATCTTAATTGGTGTTTTTTTAAAATTATGTATACACAATGGGGGAAAAAAACCACAAAGTGCCGAAGCCTTCCCCACCTGGCTGTGCACTGGGAGGTGGTGGTTTCCAGAGCTTGGTCTCAGTCTCAGTCTGTATTCAAAGGTTTGCCTTCTTGAAAACAACTGAACAAAGGCGGAAGCCACACTGAGACCTCGGGTCCAGAGGGCTGGGGAAAGGAAGAAGAAACCAGACTTATTCAGATCCAGGCTCTAAGACAACATATGTAGGTTGTTTCTCTAAAAATACATACTATTAAATCTCCATGTTCTTTCCTTTTAGTCTGGGATGGGGTCAATATTCATGAAGACCACTCCCACAGAGAAATTATTCTAAGTGTAAAATCTTATCTATTGGTTCAGCGGTGTTTTCCATATGTATCCCTTTTGCTGATCCACACAAATACAAATACCACGGTGTTTCTTTCCCTAGCTAAAGTCCCAGCAGAGATTTGGAATCACGAGGAAATTTGTAAGAAATAAATGCCAGAGAGAAATGATGCTGAAACGAGTGCTCAACAATCCCTTGTAGAAAGATAAATGTGTCCTCCAAAATGCTGCAGTCCACTGGGCCTCTTGACTAAGAAAAAAGGTTTTAAAAACGAGGCGGGGAGTGGGGGAGACTGTTTATTCTGGTATTCAATCGGCTTCTAGCTCAGAGGGTCGACCACGGAAGCTTTTTAAGTCCTGGGGGTTCTCCCCAAGGGAGGCGGCTGGGGAGGCTTCCGGGATGCGGGCCGGTGGAGGAGAAATCCAGAATCATTGTAAATATTCATGTCTTCTGGTGAAGGAGGGAGGTGTATGTGTGCCCCATCACTGGCCTCTACCAGCTGCATCCACCCACTCCTCCCCCAGCGGTGGTGGTGGGGGCAAGGCGCCTGACCGACAGTCCCTGGACAAAGGTGATCTCCCCACATTTTTGTTCTCTAATCCCTCGACTTCAGGAGTCCTCTTCTAAGGCTCTGCAGGGAAGGGACTGGCTCTGGGTGTTTTTCCCTTCTTTTCCCTTCTTTCGTTTCCTAAAAGAGCATAAATAATTAAAGTTTGGCAGGGAGGAAAAGCTTTCTTGCAGAACTGTAGTGGCAATAAATGAAATGACTCAGAATCCCTTCCCCAGTCAGCTTTTACGAGGGCTGCCAGACAGTGTCTGTTCACGTTCTCCAGATACCAGGGGCGCCCTGACAAAGTTAAGGTCAAGTTAGTGTCTTATCTTGGGTGGCTCAAAATTACCGCATCGCGTCTCGGCGCTGCGCGGAAAGCTATCGCTTGTAGAGCTGCTCGCTGCGCCCCGAAGGCCTGGTGTGTTCTCTGCGTTTCGGGTGGGGCCGCATAGGCAAGGACAAGGCCACAGCACCCGGGTCTTCACGGTAGGTTCTCGAGAGAGCGGGGAACGCGCGGGTCCAGAGGCTGTGGTTTTCCTTTTTTTTGGGGGGGGGGTGGTAAGGATAGAGCAGGCAGCTGGGGCCAAGAGCGAATCGGGTTGGGCCCAGAACGAATGCCCTGGGTTGGGGGGGGGGCGAGTGTCTGTGCTAATGCACCAAGGGGGCCCATTGCCCCCTTCCCCTATGCACCCCGGCGCCTCTGCAGATGGCGCACCCTTTGCTGCCAAAGCGCGGCTCCCGCCGGAGCCGCCGTCGCCATGTCGTTGAACTTGAATGGTTCGTCCTCTCCATTTCCCTTTTCGGCGACCAGCAGGCTTCATTTGGGGGGCGGCGGGCTGCCTGAGCCCCACTCCGTGCGGTGAGGAAAGAAGGTGTGAGGATTTTTTGCATTCCTCCCCGACACTCGAAGACCATACTGGGGGGCCCCGCCACTTCCCTGGGTCCTGAACGATCGTAGGGCCAGTGTGCAGTGTCCGGGGAGCCATTTTAGAAGAGAGATCCAGGGGCGTCGACCAGGAGCCAGAAAGGGAGAGCCTTGGGGCTGGGATGGAGATAGAGAAGCAGATAAGTGTGCCGGGATCTGGGCTGGGGCGAAGGGTGCAAGCTGAAATCTGGGCTGGGGTGCCAGCTGCCGGGAGGGGGCACAGAATGGACAGTTCTAGGTGGGGAAAGGCTTGGTGCCCTCCAGTAGCCACTGACCTGTTTGCGCAGTGTTGGGGGAGGGAAGCAGATGTGGAAGGGGCGGAGGAATAAGAGGAAGGAGAAAAGGAGGGAGGAGAAAAAGAGGAAGGGGGGGTACATCAGCCAGAAAATAGATATTAGCTCAGACCACCCGCCTTTTCTCTGTCTGTCGGCACGGTGGACAGAGAGCACAGCACCAGCACTTCAGCAGCCTGGGCGGGGAAGAAACCAGCATCACAGCCAGCACCGCCTGCTCTGGACATAGGGCTGAGGCCCAGGCCTCAGTGCTGTGTTGCTTGGACAGAGAAATCCTGGGGATGGAATCAGTCTCCTGCCCTGGTTCTGGGCTTCGGGTTTGAGTAGAGACTGGTTTACCTTTGAAAAGCCCGGGTGGGATGTGGGAACCCAGGCCTTGCCTGCCTGGAACCCTGAGCTAGGAGAGGGTTGCTGAAGCTAGAGGAAATTGAAGCCTTGGGGCGAGTGGATGTATGGGAAGTGCTGAAGAATCTGCCTTAGCGCCAGGTGGTACAGAGGGGCTTTAGTTCGAGGCAGTCGATAGTGAGACCCTTGGAGAGCCAACGGATGTCCCGGTGGGCTGCAGTGGCCATGCCGACCAAAGGGCAAAAGGAGGTTGGGGGAGAGCCCTGTGGATGAGCAGGCCTTGGCAGGGCTCTCACAGCAGTGAAGGGTTTGGGTGTTCGGCAGACTGGACCCAGGCCAGGCCTCAAATCAGTGGGGGTAAGGAGGGCCTGAAGCACCTGGGTGTTTCTCTCTCCTGGTGGGTGAGCTGAAGGCCAGGCACAGTGAAGGTAGGACACCAGATTCTTTTGTTCATAAGACAATCCCCCTCCCAGCTTTTAGGGAAGCCACGGCTTTGGGGTGTCTCTGCTAGCTGAGCTCCCTCCTCCCTTTAGTACTGAGAGAGAAGACAAGGACAGGGAGAAAGAGACAGTGACACACAGTTTAGAGAAAAGGAGAGAGGATGAGGGGACCGAAGAAGATAGGGGAAAGAAAAGGAAGAAGGGAAAAAGAAATAGAGATTGAAAAGAGAGAGGACTGGATAGAGAAAAGGGAGAAGAGTAAAGAAAAGAAGGAGGGAGACAACAAGAGGGGGGGAAACCAGAAAGGAGGAGAGAGGACCTAATGGGCACCGAGGTCCTGGCCTGGACCAGAGCCTGGGAGGCGTTTAGCGTGGGTTTTTCTGAGGCCAGCTCTCGCGCCCCCTGGGTCAGAACCGGAGAGAGCCAAGTTACTCCGAGGTGAATGCTCTGGGCAGAGAAATATGTAAATCAGGGTTCCCTGATCCCTGGAGAGTGGCGCAATTACACCCCTAGAACAAGAAGCAACAAGCTCCCTGGCGGGTGAGCTGCAGAGGGTGGCGGCATCGCGGGGGAGGGAACGGCTGCAGGAAAGGGGGTGGAAGTGGGAACCTCACACCCTCACACCTAGTCCCCTGTGCCAGGGCAGGGGCTCCCCCCTTCGCTTACCGCTTCTTTCCCTTCCCCCTTCCTCCCCCTTCTTCCCCCTCCCTCCTCCTCCCCGCCGGCCTAGGTCCGCGTACTTAAAGCCGCGCGGGCGGGCGAATGCGGGCGGGCGGCCCATTCGGGCGGTGGCAGATGCGCCCAGCGGTGGCAGCCGCCGGCGACGCGCAGGTGACCGGCCTGCAGCACAGCCTGGTCAGGGGGCGCCTGGGGAGAGCTGGCGGGAGAAGGAGGCCGATCCGCCCCCAGCGTGCGCGCGTCTCGGCGCCAGGAGCCGTCCCGGGGCGTGTTGGCGAGCACTGATATAGATATAAGGACATTTCTCTCCATGGCGTCACGTGACATAATTACCACCAGAATCAATCAAGATGAATTGCACGTCAGCGCCCGGTGGGGATTTTTGCTTAGTTGATCCTGGCCCAAGCCTCTTGTGCAATCGATGGCTCAGGTTGGCGGCGCGGGGAGCGGCCCGGGGCTTGCCGGCGTGCACGCCACGGAGCCATGAACGACTTTGACGAGTGCGGCCCGAGCGCAGCCAGCATGTACCTGCCGGGCTGCGCCTACTATGTGGCCCCGTCGGACTTCGCTAGCAAGCCGTCGTTCCTTTCACAACCGTCGTCCTGCCAGATGACTTTCCCCTACTCTTCCAACCTGGCGCCGCACGTCCAGCCCGTGCGTGAAGTGGCCTTCCGCGACTACGGCCTGGAGCGCGCCAAGTGGCCATACCGTGGCGGCGGCGGTGGCGGCGGCGGCGCGGGGGGCGGTGGCGGCGGGGGCGGCCCTGGCGGGGGCGGCGGCACCGCTGGGGGCTACGCTCCCTACTACGCGGCGGCGGCGGCTGCAGCGGCGGCAGCGGCGGCGGCCGAGGAGGCGGCCATGCAGCGCGAGTTGCTCCCGCCGGCGGGTCGCCGGCCAGACGTACTCTTCAAGGCGCCAGAGCCGGTGTGCGCGGCGCCCGGGCCACCACACGGCCCCTCGGGCGCCGCCTCCAACTTCTACAGCGCGGTGGGCCGCAATGGCATCCTGCCGCAGGGTTTCGATCAGTTCTATGAAGCGGCTCCGGGGCCCCCATTCGCCGGACCGCAGCCCGCGCCACCGCCCGCGCCGCCACAACCCGAGGGTGCTTCTGACAAGGGTGACCCCAAGACCGGGACTGGTAGCGGCGGGGGCAGTCCCTGCGCCAAGGCGACCCCGGGCTCGGAGCCCAAGGGGGCAGCGGAAGGTGGCAGCGGAGATGGCGAGGGCCCCCCGGGGGAGGCGGGGGCCGAGAAGAGCGGCGGCGCAGGTAGGCAACTGGATGCAGGGCGAGGGGCTGAGCCCGCCCGGGGGCCGTGGGCGCGGGGGGGCGGCGGCGGGGGCCTCCCTCTGCTTGCGCCGTTTTATGTGCTACTTTATAAGCATTCGAAGGGGTTTATACATCCTATAAGATTTCCCGGGTCGTTGTAAAGCGTGTTTATGATAGGAAACCAATTTAGGTGGGCTTAAGGTAGACTTCGAGGAGGACATTAATCGCAGTAGAGAGCTTTCCCTCTGTTTTAGTGAGGGGGTGCTGAAGACCATGGAGAGAGGGAGTGAGATTTTGAGCCAGTTGGTGAGTGTGGACACGCGAGCCTCCGGCTTTTAAGGGAGGAGGGGTGGGTGATCCTTGCACTGGACTTTATCCAAGCCGCTGGCTGACGCGCACCGCTGGAATGGAGCAGATGCCCCCGCGGGCGCACTGGTGTCTCTCTTCTCTTGGGTTCCAGTTAAAAGCCTGACTCGCCCTCCTCTTTTCTATCTCCGTGCCAGGCTGGTTTTGTGTGTGTGTGTGTGTGTGTGTGTGTGTGTGTGTGTGTGTGTGAGAGAGAGAGAGAGAGAGAGAGAGAGAGAGAGAGAGKGTGTGTGTGTGTGTGTGTGTGTCCGTCCGGGTGTGAACATAGGTCCACGCCTGCACTCTCCTGTGCCCGCCCATATATCATCCCCCACGACGCAGGCAGGGCCTTTCAGCGACTGTAGGGGACGTCCCTAACGGGGCCAGGGCCTGGCCCTAGCTCAGTGGCGGGCGGGCGGGGGGGGGGCCCCCCTCGGCAGACAGCGGCCTTTCTCACCCCTTGATCTCTTTCCCTTGCAGTGGCCCCCCAGAGGTCCCGGAAAAAGCGCTGTCCCTACACCAAGTACCAGATCCGCGAACTGGAACGCGAGTTTTTCTTTAACGTATATATAAACAAAGAGAAAAGACTCCAACTCTCTCGGATGCTCAACCTCACTGACCGGCAAGTCAAAATCTGGTTCCAGAATCGCAGGATGAAAGAAAAGAAACTGAACAGAGACCGTCTGCAGTATTTCACTGGAAACCCCTTATTTTGAAAGCTGCAGGAAGCGCCCCCTCCCCAGAGCCCCACTGACCCACCCTCCTCCCCACCAGCCTGCCCTCCGCAGGCCCAATGTCCTTGGGTTTAATGACGCCTCTTCTCTGTGGAACTTCACGATTACTTCCCACGGTCAACTCAAGACCTCCCAGCGACCACTGCAGCCTGCGGACCGGGGACTTGGCCGAGCGGATCCTAATAAGGGGAAAATGGTAAATGCAAACGTCCCTTTACAATTTTACCGCCAATGTGCTGTCGTTCCCCCTCCCCCTCTCAGAGTCCTCGCGGGGACCCAGCGGGATCTGTAGGGAGTTAGGCCACAGGGCTAGAAGGCGCTGGCGTTTTGTTCTGAGATTAAGATATCCCTTCCTTCTCCCTCCCTGAACGCAGATTATTTAAACTCTGGGAACTGTACCTTTGGTCTGTCATATCAAGGCATGAGTCACTGTCTTTTTGTGTGTGAATAAATGGTTTCTAGTAAAATTGAGGTCACAGCTTCAATACACTGTATGAATTTTCCTCTTCGAAGAAGTTTAGTGACTGATTAGGATATTTTAGTGGCCAGAACCCTTCTCTGAAAATTGAGTGAAATACTTTTTTAGTCTCTAAAAATAGGAGTCGTTCCCTCCCATCTCTGGGAACACTGTTTTTAAAAATCATGTTAGTGATGAATTTCTAAAAAGATGTGACCCAGCCATGCTGGTACTGTCCTCTTTAGGCAGTGAGGCTGGAGTAGAAGGAACCTAAGAAGTGAATCCCCACCCCCACTTCTAGTCTACTGAACTTGGAATTTCTGAAAAGACAAACAAAAATTTAAAACTGATTAGAAAATCCAAATTATCTCTTAACAAGGTGACAAGGAGCCAGGGTTCCTTAAAAGAAGAAACCAAAATTAGAACCCTCCTTGTTAATATGTAAGTGGAGGGATGCTAAAATGAGGTTTAGTGAGTGGAAAGGGTTTGGGGTCCTTGCTAGTGTCATAGTGGGCCTGTACCAGGGAATGTAAGCCCCCCTCATTGGATGAGGGCCAAGGGCTGCAGACCTGCTTCTTCCTGCATTTATCGCTTTAAGTTAAAGAATGTGGTGAGGGCTGCACTGCACTTTATGTTGCAGGGCCAGGCCAGGCTGTTTACAAAACCTTGAACTGTCTAGACAACACCATAAAAGCCAAAGTTCTAAACAGCTTAATTGGGTTATATTATACACCTTCTGGTGGGCCCAAAAGAGATTTCCGCAATGTGCAATAAACTGGAGAAGTGAGAAAAGCTTCTCTTTCTCTGAAAAGAGTGAACTGAATCTTATGACTCTTAACCTCTCATAAGCCCAAACTCAAAATATAAATCCATAAGATGCACAGCACCTCATGCATCTTCTGAGGCAGTATGCATTTTACATGCAGCAATATTTAATTGCTAAGGCTCTTGGGGGAAAAGGAAAAACATAAGTGCATAAGTGTATGCCTTTGAACTTCCAAAATGTCAAGGTCATCACCTTTAACCTCTCTGAATAATTAGGCGCCTTAAGGTTCTTCTGTGATTTTCAACTGCCACCCACTCTCATACATACATGCTCACACATACAGACCCATGCACACATTTATGACCACACAGAATCCTACTGGGTGCTCCCCATAAATCTAAGAAAATTTCTAATTTCAGGATCAATAACCTTAATTTCCCTTCAAATATTTGAGCGATTCAGTAGCTATTGACTTCTTTTTTGAAAATACTGGTTAGACTAAAATGCTTATTAGCTTTCACTACAGCTGGGATGTGCTGGAGATGTGGGGGGGGTCTTAAGAAATGTTTCCCTTTGCTCTAATGAAGAACTGTAGTATTAAAAGCAGGCATTTGAAAAAGTAAGTTCTGTTCAGACTTACACCTTTGTTATATTTGAAAGCAATTTGCCACCCATCAAATAAATTATGGCACTTTCTAAGCTATGGAACAAAAAAAATATATTTGTATGGTCTTTAAAAGCCTCTCTCAACCTTTGGTGAAAGATGTAATAGAAACAAGGCGGACAAATGATTTCGTTGGGAAGGGGATTCCTTTGTTTGAAATTCTGGGCATCAGTTAAAATCTGAATGCCTTATTAGTATGATCTTCTTAGGAGCTTAACATTAGTTTATTTTTCTCTCTCCGTCTGTGATTTTTTTTTTTTAACTGCATCTAAATGTAGCAAGTTTGTGCGCCAGCCACCATAGGTAAGCCGAACGGAGAGGTACCATTTCGCCTTTGCAGGGGCCTGGACAGCCACACGAGGGCGCGCTCACGTTCCAGAAGCCGCGTTTGGCCGAGAGGCTGCGGTACCTTATCTTTCCAATACTGGATTCTAATAAGCAATCTCGGCCCGTTAGAAACGGGCGGCAGCTAAGGTGTTTTGCTGTTTGTACTAAGCAGCTCCTAAGTGTGAGAAGTTGTATGGAGACAGAACAAAGGGAGCAACTACATTCCTGCAACAGGAGATTGCTTAATCGTTGTCTCCTTGAAGATAAAGCTGTTGCAAATGATACCTTGGTATAATCTGATGGTGTCGAGGAGAGATTTTTTAATAGATAAATTAGGTATTTTGAAATATGTCATAGCCACTGAGAGTTTATTAAGTTAGCAAAAATAATTTTTCTTGTTGGTTTGAGTGTGGAGAGTGATGTCCGGGGGTAGAATCCTTCTTCCCGGCTCTCCAAAACCACATGCGGTCTTGTGAGCCCTCAGATCTCTTGGATGATTAAAGGGGTTTTGTTTAAGACACATTCAGGCTTTGGTAATTTAGCTGAGTGCATATGCAGGGGGAAAAAATGAGACGCATTGAGGGACAAGGATGTCGTTCTGGGTTAGGGAGCCTCGAGTCATGCCTGGCACAGGGTTCTTCCAGGCGACCGGGGAGGCGCAGGCAGGACTATGAGTTGGAGTGCGGGTGCCGAGCTGGGCTGACGCGGCTGCAGGAAGCAGCGGGCTCTCTCGGGGAAAATGTTTATACTTGAAGGCGTTGTGGGACGGAAATGTATTTGAGGCAAACGGGTGTTGCATTTGACAGATCCTGAGCCACCCTTCCAAGCAGCCCTCTGGCCTTGAGGTGTTAAGCTTGTTTTTGGCGTTGCTTTCAGAAGCAGTGAATTCACTGCGTGCCCTCCCCACCCAGTAAAGCCCCTAACATTGGGGAGTGTCTGTAACCCCAAAAGGGAGAGGACAGGACAACAGGACATGGGCAGCTCTAGGAGAGGATGGCTGCCCTCTTTTCCCATCAGAAGTTCATTGTGAAAAGCTTGCAGCTCTGAGAATTAGCGCTGGCCTCCTTGTCAGCAGTCTCTGCATCCCGCCTTCCAAGCACTGGACCTAAGACTCTGGGACCCGCCTGTCCGCTCGCTCCCCCGCCTCCGGGAGGGGAGCTGGCATTGGCTTTCCAGGAGGCTGGGGCGCCATGACTCCCCGGCAAGGCGCCAAGGAGAGGCGTGGGTGTTCCCCGCGGGTATCCCGGGCTCCGCCTGTCTGGCCGCCGGTCCAGCTTAGCTATTGTGAAGCGACCTTTTCTGGTGCTTAACCCGGGCTTCAGTCTGCGTGGGGTGAGAAGTCTCTCCCCAAATGTCGTTGTGTTCCTGGGTAGGCGGCCCCAGCAATTGCGCATCTGGCTATGCAGGGGGCCCCTTGGCCTTGGCTGGCAGCCGCCAGCGACCAGGGCTGTCTGCAGCTCCTTTCCTCCTGGCAGCTTCCAACATAGGCGGGGGGGGGGGGGGGGGGGGGGGGGGTCCGACCAGAACCTCTGGAGACTGAAAACCTTCCCTTCCCCCGACCTTTCAGAACGTGTGGGGCTCGAAGAGGGTAGCCATAGATGCTGAAGCACCAAAGTCGCAGATTCTTAAGTGGAGGGAAAATGCGCGAAGTAGGAGTCTTTTGTGTCAGTACAGAAAGAGGCTCTAGGGCCGCGGCCCTTCTGCACGTCTCCGTGGACTCCTTATCGCCATAGTGGTAGTCTCCCCATTTGACCCCTGGATTTCTTTTCACCTTAGCCAGGTGGTGCACAGTGCAACCTGGAGGGGCTGTCTTGGGGAGGTCTCCTTTAACATGTCCCCATCCACTCTGTCCCTCCAAAGTGACATTGCCTAGAGGCTGCTCAGGACTAATTCTAGGCGACTTTAAGAACCCCCAGGTTCTCTCAGGCTCAGGGGCTCCACTCTTCTTTCCAGAGACAGAAGAGTGCAGATGCAAGTCACTTTTTAAAAAATTTCCAAACGCTAATTTCTTGCTAAGGCGACCCTTTTAATTTTTTTTCCTGGAAATAACTGTGCCAGGGAGAAGGGTGTCTTGAAACAAATATGAGTATCCATCTCTTTTATGATGCAATATTGATTTATTATTAATGGTAACTGTCCCAACTGATCTAAATATGATCGAAACCAGCAACTACATTAATGCTCTAAGCAAAATAAAGGTTGCCTTTAAAGCCACTGCCTTTTAATTCCATTTGCTTCATCTCAGCCTTTAAGTCTTAAGGTTCATTTTTTATTATCCTCCATCCAAATCATTCTCTCGTATTATTGTTTTTCTTGATTTTTAAGATAAAAATCTCTAAAATATTAATGGCCTCTGGCCCCAAGGAACGGGTCTGAAGGTAAACATTTGAAATTTAAAAAAAAAAAAAACAGAATTTTGTGAGAATAAATTTAAAACTCTGATATACACTTTTCTCCCCCCGTGGGTGAAGACTTCTTAACATCGAATTCAGTGTGGGAGACTTTCAGCTTGAAATCACAGAGAGCTAAAAGCAAAAAGGCTCCCAAATGCAAAAGGCAGCTCTTGCCTGTCCTGGTTCATAGAAGACCTACCCGCTCTGCAAAAAAACAATTGCTTGTTTTTAGCCTGGATGTTTTCTTCATGTATAAATAAGGATTATGAAAAGGCATTTGATGGGCATAAAATTCCTGATTAGATTGAACAGTCTTGCCTTGGTAGAGATAGGTTAAATTGGGCTACCGAATTCTGGGCAGCACTCCTGGCCCAGATGCAAAGGAACACAAGGCTGGAGCGCCAAGCTGGCGACAGGGCGCCTGCCGAAAGCAAGTATAGCTAGCGGGCACTTTGTTTAGCTCTGGGCATGGTTAGCTGTGGCTCAGATTAGGATCTCCACAGTGTGAGAAAGGAAATTTTGGGGAGCTGATCAGTTGCTGTTATCTTTGAACAGAATATTTGCAAGCTAGAGACCAAAGTTGTTTTTCTTCTGCCTTCCTTAACTTCCATCCCCAAACTTAAAAATACCCACCCTGTGGAAAGGTAATGTTTAAACCTCCGCCTAAGCCAGGGTGCTTCAGCCTGAGCAGTTAGAGGCGCCAGGCTTTTAACCTGACAATGATGTTGTATTTGAACAGCTGCGTAAAGGTTTAAAAGGTCTGTCTCATTGCCACCGCGGAGTTTTTTAAAAGGGGTTATTGTTTGGGCGAGGGCACTGAGAGGGGACAGGCGAATTGGTCCCAAGGCCGAAAATAATGTCCAATGCCTGTTTTCACCAGGCCAGGGGAAATTCCTTTTGGGGAGGGGGCCAAAGGGCTTGTTGGAAAAGGTTTTTGTGAAGAAGCAGGCGGGCTACTAGGTCCCCAGGATGCAGAGGTGCTTTAATGAGCATTGGACCCCAAGGAAATTTTCTGCTGAGGCGGAAACCCGATTTACCCACAAGTTCAGTCTCTGGGCCTGAAATCCAAGGCCAGCCCATGCCTGAGTGAGTGTGGGGAAAAGAACACGGATGCCTTCGGGAACAGAGAACTGGTTCATGGTCATCAGAGTCTCCCCGGGCCGCTTTACTTTCTTGGTTGCCCAGAAGGGGATCCGGAAGGTGGAAGGATCACTCCCTAGTGCTGGCAGGGCCCCTCACCTAAGGAAAGCCTTTGGAAATCAAGGTTAAAGCTCCCTGCTGCTGTCCGAGGCCAGGGCTTCCGCTGGGCGGCTCACCCGCCTGCAACCAGAGGAGGGAGGAAGTTGTTCAAGTTTCTCATAAAACTCTGAATTTCCATGCTGGTAGTGGTCGGTGGTTGTTCTTTAATGAGCTAGACCACAACTCCAGACCATATCCTCTTTATAGAACTTTCCCTCACCAGAGGAAACAGAGGACAGATTCCCCCATCTGTTCCCCCTCTTATCCAATCAAAATCTTGTCAAATAATTTTAAGGATTGTCCCAAACTATAGAACTCAACTTTTGACACAAAAGTATAGCTTTAAATATTTGACGATTTGTGTTAAAACAAAAATTGACCTTCTTGGTTAGTAGTGAAGGGGAAAAATCAATAGTATAATTTTCAATAATTCATAAAGCGAACGCCATTATGCTAAATCTTAACTATTAATCTTATCCTTTACAAAGTCTCGATTGATTTGTTAATAAAATATCTTCCCGTGTGTGGCAACAGCGGGTATAACTCTTTAAAAACCTTCAGAAGCAAGAAAATTACCAAGTAGCTCAAGAATGTAGATGAGAATTTTATTGATCGCCCTGATTCTTCTTAATATGTATTAATAAATTCCACAACCTTTTGTACCTTGCGCTTGTCAGAAACCAATGCTTTTACAAAATCCATAAAAGGAAAACGTATTTTTCTTTGCAGAAAAACCAAATGACACCTTTGCATTTCTCTCTCTCCTGCCTGGCCCAGTCGGTTTTCTAAAACTTCTGGAGTCTGAGGGTCAGAGTTTTCCTATTTCCTTTAGAAAATTATTTTCTTTCTCCCTCCCTTCCTCTCTGCCTTCTATTATCAGGGTGTGTGAGGAAGGAAATCTCCGTTTAGTTCTCCCGCTGGGAGCCGGGGGGACGCTTTCCCCGATAGAGAACGGCTGGCCAGGGACTCTCTTCAGGCTGAAAGCTCCCAGCGGCCCGGCCCTTCAAAGGTCAGGGTGTGGTTCCTCTGAGAACCAAAGGCTCCAGTAGCTCGCAGGGGCGCGGAGGGGCTCAGAGCTGGGGCGGGAAGGCCGAGAGGACGACGCTGGGCCGGGCTCATCCTTGGGGCTCCGGAGCCGGCCAGCTGCGTGGCCTCGCGGCCCTCGCGGCCCTTTTCGCCTCCGCTTCCAGGGACACGTTGGCCGCACCTTTGCACGCGGGATCTTTCCTTTGGACCCCTGGAATGGGATGTCTCAGGATCAGGGTAATATGATTCACCTTCCCGGGTTGCCCGGCACTAAATTAATCAGCCCGGGCCCCAACCGTCTGCCCCGGACCCGGCCCTTTTGGGCGCGTTTCTGCCTGGGTGTGTGCGCTGGAATATGCCTCTGTGTGCAGGCGCCACAGAGCTCCAGCTTCCCTCCCCGCACGTGTCCTCCCCGAGGTCCTTCCGACCGAGCCTTTCCTTCCGCCGGCGGAGCCCGGTGGCCAAGGCGGTGGACGCGAGTGGGGCAGGCAGACGGAACGAGCTGTGCGGGGAGGCGGGGAGGAGAGCGGGCGGCGGAGAGCTCTGGGCCAGTCGTCTCTAGCGCGCACTATCGCAGGCGCGTAGTAGATGTCGCTGTTGTCCGTGCTTACGCGGCCGGCCGGCCGGGCTCTGGAGCACGTGACCTGCGAGGAGGCTGCGGCTCAAGGCCATTTTCAAATCTCATTGGCTTGGTTGTCATGTGGTCGGCAGAGGCATCCACAATTACACGGGGAATGTTTTCCTAGAGATGTCAGCCTACAAAGGACACAATCTCTCTTCTTCAAATTCCTCCCCAAAATGTCCTTTCCCAACAGCTCTCCTGCTGCTAATACTTTTTTAGTAGATTCCTTGATCAGTGCCTGCAGGAGTGACAGTTTTTATTCGAGCAGCGCCAGCATGTACATGCCACCACCTAGCGCAGACATGGGGACCTATGGAATGCAAACCTGTGGACTGCTCCCGTCTCTGGCCAAAAGAGAAGTGAACCACCAAAATATGGGTATGAATGTGCATCCTTATATACCTCAAGTAGACAGTTGGACAGACCCGAACAGATCTTGTCGAATAGAGCAACCTGTTACACAGCAAGTCCCCACTTGCTCTTTCACCACCAACATTAAAGAAGAATCCAATTGCTGCATGTATTCTGATAAGCGCAACAAACTCATTTCTGCCGAGGTCCCTTCGTACCAGAGGCTGGTCCCCGAGTCCTGTCCCGTTGAGAACCCCGAGGTTCCTGTCCCTGGATATTTTAGACTGAGTCAGACCTACGCCACCGGGAAAACCCAAGAGTACAATAACAGCCCCGAAGGCAGCTCCACTGTCATGCTCCAGCTCAACCCTCGTGGCGCGGCCAAGCCGCAGCTCTCCGCTGCCCAGCTGCAGATGGAAAAGAAGATGAATGAAAACGTGAGCGGCCAGGAGTCCACCAAAGTCTCCCAGGTGGAGAGCCCTGAGGCCAAAGGCGGCCTTCCCGAAGAGAGGAGCTGCCTGGCTGAGGTCTCCGTGTCCAGTCCCGAAGTGCAGGAGAAGGAAAGCAAAGGTCGGTATGAACAGAGTTGCCACCCCAGCGGGGCGCGCAGTCTGGAAACCCAGCGGAGAGGGAGCGCTTGGGTGCCCAGCGCGGAGCCCAGGCAGCGGAGTCGGTTGTCCGACTTGCAGGTGCTGCTCCCGCCCGGCTTGCAGAAGGGAGATCTCAGCTTTGAGATGGTCCCTGCTTCTCTCCCGCTGCCTGGCCCTCCCCGCCGGTCTTGGCCCCACGCTGATGGCGCCTGGGCAGAGGAAAGGCTTGCCGGGTTTATTTTTCCTTAGCTAGACCTGAAACGCAACAAAAGAGGCAAAGGAGACCTGCAGCTCGTAAACAGGGCCCCAGTACCTCTTTTCTCCAGCTCATATTTGGAATCTGTTTTGCCTTGCACCCAAATGATTGTTTTAAGGTGGCCCAAGGCACCGTGTTCGTGTTCAAGTGTATATACCCCGCATCCTGCGAGCTTGGGGTCTGTTAGGGTAACGAGATGGCTGGACTGCTTGGTGCTTGAGTGGGGGATCAGGGCTTCCTGCCTTTGCTGGGCTGGATAACCTTGGCTTTGTCTGGGAAAAGTGCCGCAGGCTTTGCAATCCATCTACAAAGAGGGCAAAGGCACATGGGGGGAGAACAGAACCGCATTGCCCACTTCCCAGGGCCAGCCTTAGGGTTGGACTAGGGCAAAGAACCAGGGATCTGGGTTTTTGAGAAGGAACCCTATCCCCTGAGCCTCTCTCCCAGTGCCCAGAGGTGGGCCACAATGCAGGTTACATTTCTGGGGGAATGCTTTTGTGTTGGAGCAAGAAGGCATGAGAATTCAGGAAATTCTGGAGTAAATGCAACAATACTCAGGCAGAATAGAGAAGATATCCTTGCTTCCTCATTTATCTTTAGAGACTAGGCACCTATAAACCTGGCTATAGAGCTCCCTTCCTGCCTAGGGTAGGTAGGAGAAGCAACAGATCTGGGGACCTGAGGAAGCAATGGGGTTGGAAGGTTTGTCTAGGCTATGGCATCTTCCATTCCTGCTCTGTCATGAGCTGACCACTGAGAATGTCACTAGGAGATACAGAAAAGTTTACTTTTATACTAATGTTTTGTTTGAGTCAGAAAGTTGTGCCTGTGCTTGCATGTGTGGGAGAGGGAGGGGGGAGAGAGAGAGAGAGACCCCACTGATGCAGACTATCTTCCCATTGTGTCACTTTGGGCATTTAGTTTGAAATTTGGCATCGATTTAAAATCCCTTCCAGGGCCCATCTCTGTGAGTAATGTTTAATACCAGGGTTGCCCAAAGCAGCCTGCCTGCCAGCAGGTCATGGCCAAGGGTAAATTTGAACAGACTGAGAGAAAGAAAAAAAAAAAAACTTCTTGATTTTTTTTCTTCTCCCTTTAATTTTGTTAGAGGAAATCAAGTCTGATACTCCAACCAGCAATTGGCTTACTGCAAAGAGTGGCAGAAAGAAGAGGTGCCCTTACACTAAGCACCAAACGCTGGAATTAGAAAAAGAGTTCTTGTTCAATATGTACCTCACCCGCGAGCGCCGCCTAGAGATCAGTAAGAGCGTTAACCTCACCGACAGGCAGGTCAAGATTTGGTTTCAAAACCGCCGAATGAAACTCAAGAAGATGAGCCGAGAGAACCGGATCCGAGAACTGACCGCCAACCTCACCTTTTCTTAGGTCGGAGGCCGGTGGGAGGCCAGGATCAGAGAGGGGCACCGCGTTCCAGAGCCCAGTGCTGGAGGACTGGGAAGGTGGAAACAAAACCTTCATTGCTCTTTGTTTTTTTGTTTTTGTTTTGTTTTGTTTTCCTGCTAGAATGTGACTTTGGGGTCATTCTGTTCGTGCTGCAAGTGATCTGTAATCCCTGAGTATATATATATATATATATATATTAAAAAAACTTACCACGTGTAATTTATTATTTTTTCATCATAATGCAGGGTAACTATTACTGCACATTTTCATTTGGGTCTTAACTTATTGGAACTGTAGAGCATCCATCTAACCATCCATCCATCCATCCATCCATCCAGCAATGTGACCTTTTTCATGTTTTTTTTTTCTAACACAAAAGTTCTCTGTGTGTGGTTAATCATGAACTAATGACATTTTGAAAACATCCAGTACTTTTTAAATTACACACATATATATATATATTTAAAAAAGATTAAGAAAACCCACAAGCTTTGGGGGGAGGGGACTTAAAAAGCACATTACAATGTATCTTTTCACAAATGAATTTAGCAGTTGTCCTTGGTGAGATGGAATATTGACAACTTATGCCTTGTAGCCTTTCCCTTGTGGTGCATCTGTGGTTTGGTAGAAGTACAACAGCAACCTGTCCTTTCTGTGCATGTTCTGGTAGCATGTATAATGCAATAAATTCTGGAAACAAATTTGCTCCCTCTGCTTTCTGAAATGGAAAAATATTATGGTGGAAATGAAAGCCTTTGGGGAGGTTCTCTTCTGGTTAAACTGCTTTTGGGGCAGTAGGGTGGGGGAAGTGACGGGAGCAGGAGATGGTGCTAGAATTGGACAGTGGTGGGAGAAGGAGAGTGATAATCGCCTGGGTTTGCATTTTTTGTAAAGGAGAAAAGAGAGTCCTTTCTCCTCTCCCAGTCCCCAACCATAGAATATAATTGCACTCTCAAAGGGTGTGAGCTTCCTCTAGCCCGAGCCTGGTAAGTAAGCTTGTGCCACAAGTTGCTTTTTCCTCTTAGCTGCCCCTGTGTGTGTGTGTGTGTGTGTGTGTGTGTGTGTGAGAGAGAGAGAGAGAGAGAGAGAGATATTGAGATTTTTTTCTGTGGGTTTTGGTTGTGTTATTTTTAATGTTTTCAGGGAGATCTTGGTGATTTCTGGCTGGGAAGTCATCCTCAGGGGCTAGGTTGAAACTAGTCTTGTCCACCTGGAAACTACCGGGCCTCCATTACAGAAGCAAGGACAAACAACAACTTAGCATTGCATGGCATCCAATTTTCTCCCTTTTGCTCAACCCCACCCCTATCTCAAGTGCAAGACAGCCAGGCCCCAGTGAAGGGAAGGATGGGTGAGTTTTCCTAGCACACTTTGCTTTGCTTTCCTTGTAGAAGGATTTTATGCTCAGTCATTACCTTTTAGTGGCTCATATGAAAAAATTTAAAGGAAGAAATGAAAAGATTCTCTCTAGTCAAATCTCTTAGTATTTAATTACAAAATGCAGTTGGAACTACTATAAAAAGCAAGAAGGTATAGAAAAAATGACTGAAAGAACATGCAAGTGAACATGACTTTCCTTGAAGTCCAATATTCCTTTTATAGGCATGGCTTGGGAAATTCCCACTAGCATTTGCAGAATCCATATCATGGAGCCCAGATTTATCCAGTCCTGCCAGGGAAAAGGGAGGAGAAACATTATGGGGGAAATTTGACAGAAAATTCGTTGCTCCAGGTACTGGCTGCAATTTCAGAGGACCTCCAATAGCTTAATGGAGTTTCAGAAAACGGGTCCTTTTTTTCCCCCTTAAGAACAATCTATTTAGGAGCTCTGAGACTCAGCCAGGGAGGCTTTGGGACACTCAGTATTTATTCAGTTTTAAACTTCCTCCCCCAGACCAGGAACCATCCCAAGTTCCCAGACAGAATCCTTTAGAGGCATCATTTCCTAATGATGGGAGGAGGAGGGATCTGCATCCATGCTAGATTGGGAACACTGGAATAGATTTGTCCCGGATTTACATTGGTTGGGCAAAAGATGGAGTGTACTTTTAACTTCCCCATTTCTCCCAGCGATGTGGGGAGCGCCATTAGTTGTTGATTGGGGGCCATGTCAGGGAGGAAAACCTTTCCATGTTACAGGAAAGGGCATTCCCTCTGAAACAAAATCAGAAAGCCATTGGCAAAGGCAATCAATCAGACCACAAGTAGCCATTTACCCCCTTTCTTTCCGGGGTTGGAGGTGGGCTGGGAGTCCTCAAAGGTGCTGGGCAACTTGTAGAGCGAGTAATATGCCCTCCGGCCGGCGGCGACACCCAGGCCGCTTTTGTCTCGGCTACCGGCCAGGCTTCAGAGGCTTTGTACCATGGATTTGGGAGTGACAATGGGCATCTCCCTCAGATTCAAGGCTGCCCAGCCTTACCTCTGGAAGCAAGAAAAAGAATTGGGAAAGGAGTGGCCCAAGGATCTGGCCCTTTGGATTTTTTTTTTCCCCACATATTTCGGGAATCTACTTGGAGGCCTCTTAGTGAGAAAGGCGCAAAACAGCCTTGACCTGGGAGACGCGGTTCCCACAGGCCTCTCTGAAGCCGGGGACAGGGCAGCTGGTGGGGGCCGGCCCGAACTGGCATTTGGGTTCTTCCCTCTGTCGCGTGTTTTCTTTCAGGGCCTCTCCAGCCGCCGGGGAGAAGACACGGACCCTGACCGACACTGTTTGCGCGGTAGACTCCACGGCTCGCTGGCCCTTCCGAGGGCTGACAGAAATCCCCAACACAACACGGCCACCGCCGACGCTGAGCCTGGCTGGGCCTGTCCACGAGCCAGGCCGCCTCAACTCTCCCCTCCGGCCTCGGGCGTGTGCCTAGCCTCACGTCGAGGCTGTGTGTGGCTGCGCGGGCGTGTGTGAATGTGGTAGGGGGAGGGGGCGCTCCGAGCTGCTCCATCCGTCCGTTTTATTAGGGACACATTAATCTATAATCAAATACACCTCATAAAATTTTTATTGAAAGGCATAATATCATTACAGAGGTCTTCCACCTGTTTTAAACAACACGACAAGCTGTGAGAGAGCGTGTGTGTGTGTGTGTGTGTGTGTGTGTGTGTGTGTGTCTGTGTGGGGAGGGGTGGGTTTAGGTAGCGAGAGAAACGAGGGGAGAAAACTCCCCTTGGGCGCCAGGGGGCCGCCCTTAAAGGCCCGCCTGCCTCCGGCTGCTCAAGGTTCTGGCTAAGTGCTAGGTGAGCCTGTGGACGCGCGACCCGCGGCTCTGAGCCCAGGAGCTGGAGAGCCAGAGCCCTGGTCGAGACTGCAGGACCCAGAGTGGCAAGAGGAGATGAACAAATAGTCCCCAGCGCCTCCTCCGGCGGCTGATGGGCCTGTGGTCCCAGCCACCGCCGGGCTGGCCGGGCCGGGTCGGGCCGGGCCACGCCGAGCGGGCTCATATACCTGGGCCTACCACGACTCTAATTATCGCGCTTATGTTGATGATGATTTTTTTTTTTTTTAAATCACAGCAGCCCCCAGTTTAGCGGACTGATTTACTCCCGGTATTGGTAAATATGATCACGTGGGCCGCGCGACCAATGGTGGAGGCTGCAGCCTGCGAACTAGTCGGCGGCTCCGGAGCCGGCGGGGAGCGGCTCGGCGGCGGGCAGTGTAACCTTGGGTGGGAGCGCACGGCGCCTCAAAATGTCCTCCAGTGGCACCCTCAGCAACTACTACGTGGACTCCCTCATAGGCCATGAGGGCGACGAGGTGTTCGCGGCACGCTTCGGGCCACCGGGGCCAGGCGCGCAGGGCCGGCCTGCAGGTGTGGCCGACAGCCCGGCAGCGTCTGCCGCCGAGTTCGCCTCGTGTAGTTTTGCCCCCAAATCGGCCGTGTTCTCTGCCTCGTGGTCCGCGGTGCCCGCCCAGCCCCCGGCGGCGGCGGCGATGAGCGGCCTGTATCACCCGTACGTGCCCCCGCCGCCCCTGGCCGCCGCTGCCGCCGCCTCCGAGCCTGGCCGCTACGTGCGCTCCTGGATGGAGCCACTGCCCGGCTTCCCCGGTGGCGCGGGCAGCGGTGGTGGCGGTGGCGGTGGCGGAGGCGGCGCCCCGGGCCCTGGTCCCAGTCCTGGCCCCGGTGGCCCAGCCAACGGGCGCCACTACGGGATTAAGCCTGAAACCGGAGCGGCCCCGGCCCCAGTCGCAGCCTCCACCTCCTCCTCCTCCACTTCCTCGTCCTCCTCCTCCAAACGGACTGAGTGCTCTGCGGCCCGGGAGTCCCAGGGGAGCGGCGGCACCGATTTCTCGTGCAACTCGTTCCTGAGGGACAAGGCTGCAGCGGCGGCGGGGGGAACCGGGCCCGGGGCGGGGATCCGGTCGGGGCCCGGGGCAGGCGGCTCGTCGGAGCCCTCGGCTTGCAGTGATCACCCGAGCCCGGGCTGCCCGCTGAAGGAGGAGGAGAAGCAGCATCCGCAGCCGCCGCAGCAGCAACTTGACCCAAGTAAGTGCAAAAGAAATTGCCCTCTGATTTATTGCTGAAACCTGTAAGGCTCGAATGTGCAAAACTGATAGTTTTACTAACCTATAAAAACGTCTAGACGCCTACCCATGCCTAGGCGAGCAACACGCATCCATAAAAAAGCTTCCCATAACCACCTACCCTGGGCGCGCGGTTTGTACGGTAAACAGCGCGAGCATTAAGGCTTTTTATGATAATTCCCCCCAAGTTGTGAAAAGCGGCCATCCTTGGTGAAATTAATTTAACGACCTCTCTTCTCCACCCTGTCGTCTCTCCCTGCCTCCCCTCCGCCCCTCGCTCTCCTCTGTAAACCCCCCTCTTCGTAGACAACCCCGCAGCGAACTGGATCCACGCTCGCTCCACCCGGAAAAAGCGCTGTCCCTACACCAAATACCAGACGCTTGAACTAGAGAAGGAATTCCTCTTCAACATGTACCTCACCCGAGACCGGCGCTACGAGGTGGCCAGGATTCTGAACCTCACAGAGAGACAGGTCAAAATCTGGTTCCAGAACCGTAGAATGAAAATGAAAAAGATGAGCAAGGAGAAATGCCCCAAAGGAGACTGACCCAGCTCAGTACCGGCAGGAGCTCTCAAAGGCAACGGAGTTTTTCTTTGTGGGTGCTTGATTTCCAGAAACTCTGCAGCGACTCAGACTTTTTTTTTTTTCTTGGTAGAATTGACTGTGTGGTTGGTCTCTGTGAGGTATTTGGGGAACTCTGTATTTGCTCGCTTCTGTGTTGGAGAAACCAAGTGGCTTTGGGGTTTCATCTATTCCACTCCTTCCCTTTCCTGCTTCATCGGTTCCTTAGGAAATGCTATATTTTGTGAGTGCACGCTGGCTTGAGGAGCCCTCTCAATGTGTTAATGTGCCCCATGTTTCTGAAAAGTGCTGTAGTTTAGCTCCCCGAAGCCTCGCCAAACCGGACCAAGCGCGCCCCAAGAAGCTGAAGGCAGAGGAAGACACTGTGCACACCCTGGCTGCTCGCCCAGGCCTAAGCCTGAGTGGTTCGGTCACCCACCGGGTTTTGAAAGCCCACTTTTAACAGGGACCCCGTGGGCTGAGACTTCGAGTGAGGCCTAGGAAGAAGCCCGGGGCCTCGGGTGGGTGGGTGGGGGTCTGTTCTTAATGTTTTGGAGCAGTTACTCTTTCTGGGAAGGCTGGGCTCACGTGGGCTGCTTTGGTTTGTGGCCCTCAGGG